AGAGAATCATGGTGGATTGGCTGCCTCCTGCAAGTCCCCCACTGGTGATCAAGCCCACAATCTGGGCATGCGCCCTTGACCGGAATCAAACCTAGAACCTTTCAGTTTTCAGTTTTCTTTTGTAAATGACGGTCATCACACACATGTGTACTACACACACATTTGAAAGTGGAATGGACAAAACAAAAGGGAAACCCAGAAGTCTGCTTGGCTTGCTCTCTGGCCCAAAGGGAAGTCCTTGCCCACCCTCCACTGGCCATCACCGAGACAGCCATCAACTAACTGGTGGCCTTGTGGCTTTGATTTTCGTCATCTCTAGAATATGATGAAATGTGTTTCCTTCTGCATCCGGTGTCTAAAGGGAAACAGGGTCCATGTGTGGGAATGCTGGTAGCCTCTTGGGAAGGCCCTCTCACTCTTTGTTTTGGTAGCTGTTCACCTCCTTGCCATCCAGATCACCTGGGCACCTGTAAGTAGGGCAGAGTCTGGATCCCTTGGACAGAGAGGAGGCAAACCATTTGAGCTTCAGTTCCCCTCGACTGGTGAGAGGAAGAAGGGGACAGGGCCATGGATTTGTTTTAGCCATCATGTTTGAGGATGGCCCACTGAGGCTCTGAGGCTGTGGCATCCTGGAGTGTGCCACATTGCTGGGGCTCTAGGCAGAAATCATGGCCTCTGGTAGGCCCTCTAAGTGTGGCCACAGAAGGATGTTCTGATCTGGGAGGCCTTTGCACGTGGTTCATTGTGTGTGAACAGCCACTCTTTGTGACCAGAGATGACATCACTGACCATGGGTCACCATCCTTGTTCTGCGGAGGGAGGCACCTGGTGTGCACAGGGCTGAGACATGGTGAGCTTGGAGTCAGCAGTTTTGAGCCCACCTATACCATCAACACCTTGGTGACTTCCGAGTGCAATTTCCCACATGGAAAGTGGGGACAGGGCCCGGCCAGAGTGGCTCAGTTGGTTGAGCGTCATTCTGTGTTCTGTGCACCAAAAGGTTGCTAGTTCGATTCCTGGTCAGGGCTCATGCCTGGGTTGTGGGTTTGATCCCTGGTTGGCAAGTGAACAGAAGGCAACTGATAGATGTTTCTCTCTAACACCAATGTTTCTCTCTCTCTCTCTCTCTCTCTCTCTCTCTCTCTCTCTCTCCTCCCCCCCTTTCTTTCAGGTGAGGTGAGGATTAAAAGAAAAAAAATGAAAGAGAGAGAGAGAGAGAGAGAAAGGATCTGTCCCTCTTGATGGGTTCTGTGGGAAGGCCGGGCTAGGGCACTGCCTCAGGGGCATAGAGGAGGAGCTGGTGATGTGGTGGTAGCTTCTGTTCTCTTTTCACCTTTATGTCTTCCTTCTGTTTCTCTCCTCAGTCGCCTTTTCTTTTTCTTTTTAAAGATATTTTTATTGATTTCAGGGAGGAAGGGAGAGGGAGAGAGAGAGAGAAAACATTAATGATGAGAGAGAATCATGGATTGGCTGCCTCCTGCATGCCCCCTACTGGGGATCGAGCTCACAACCCGGGCATGTGCCCTGACTGGGAATCGAACCGTGACCTCCTGGTTCATAGGTCAATGCTCAACCACTGAGCAACACCGGCTGGGCCGCCTTTTCTTATTTCCCTTTTTCCCTCTTCATAGCTGTGCCTGCTCCTTTTGGTCCAAAAGTTTGTACACACACATAGACACACAATATGCACACAACACACACACCATACACACATAGATACAGACATGCACCCGCAAGCACAACACATATACATATATCTGTATACAGATGTATCTATACTATGCACAATACTCTTATACACACATGCACACACATACATAATGCATGCACACTTGGGAACTGCTACCAGTTCCCTGTGATGCACACATTTGTCCTCTAAAAGTTCCTTTTTTAAAAAATGTGAGCATTTGAAAAATATATAGAGAAGTATAGAATGTCCTTCATTCAGAATTCAGTTAGCATTTTCCATATTGTTGTCTCCTTCTTTCACACTTTTACCCCATCTTGGACCTGGCACTTCCTTCCCATGTTTGGTTCATTCTTCTCTGTGTGTTGGTGTTCCAGGTCTGAGCTTGGGGGCTGCTCTATGAAGTTTCCAAACTCCTCTGTGTGAGTCGTGTTTGCTTTGGACTGCTGTGTGCTCACAGGCAGAGAGTGGTCCCCTCTTGTTACTGCTGCAGTGTTTGTCCATTTCCCTGTTGAGGAACATGTAGAGTGGTTGCAACTTTTTATGCTTGAAAGTCTTTTATTGGTCACCATATTGTATGTCTCTGCAACCAAAATATGTACATAAATTGAAATGAGAATTTCAAAAGAATTTTTCTTCTGGTTTGAGTGGGCATTATAAATACCCAATTGATCAAAACAACACAAATATAACAGTTTTTATAATAACAAACATAAATATTAAAAAGTATTAGACATGTATCTCTTAAGTGGATAGGTTACTTTTCCCCCAGTTAACTCGTAGTCACAGTTGAATATACGTAACCTGCTGCTGGAATGAGACAAATCAGTGTCAGTTCTAGTTCTGTTTTTCATTTTAAGTTGAGAAACCTTGTTCACATAAATCAGTAGATGGGAGTCAACAGGGGTTTGATAGAACAATAGCATCTAATTCCACATTATTTGCTGACAAATTCAAAGTTCACATAAAGATCTAATACCAAAAAATTGTTGCTGATTTATAAGGTGACGACTTGATCAAGTTCTCTCCAGTTCCTTATAACAGCTTTATTGAGATAAGATTTACATACCCTTTTAAATGTACAGTTCATTGGTTTTTCCAGAACATAGTTCCAGTTTTGTGATATTACAACCACTGTTGTAACACATATCCTTGTCCCATGTCTTCAATCTTTTTAAAAATAATTTTTCCTGCTTTAAAGGTTAATTATAGAAAATGTATAAAATGCAGGTAAAGTAAAAAAAAGTAAAAAAAAGTAAAACTCATCCATTGCCTCTTAATCCAGAGGTTTTATTTTATAGCATTTATATTTCTGAAGTTATTAAAACTTAAAACTGCACTAAGATGTGGAGGCCTCCTGTGTACAGTATATCAGGTTGTGAAAAGTGCTCTGGAGAAGAATAAAGCAGAGGAGGGGAATGGGAGAGGTTGGTCAGCAAGCAAGGAGAAGAGGTGGAGATAGTAAATTTTAAAAGGAATAATCAGAAAAGGCCCTGCTGAGAAGGAAACGAGGTAAAGGATCAGGCAGAGCTCTTGGAGAAGAACTTCATAAGCAGAGGAAACAGCAAGTGCAAGGGCCCTGGGGTATAAATGGGCTTGGGAGGGTCTGCATTATGTAAGGCTTTGCAGTCCACAGAGAGGAGTTTGGGACTTACTCTGATGTGATTAGGAGGTCAGAAGTTTCTGAGCAGTGGGATGTGGGAAATAGACTTTGGGGCTAGTGAGAGTGGAGAGACTGGTGGAGTGGATTACAATAATCCAGACAGGAAATGCTGGTGGCTTTGACTAGGGTGGCGGCCATTGAAATATGTTAGAATCAGGAGCCCAGAGTGGAGAAAGGAGGGAAGCCCATTGTGTTAGTTATCTCTTACCGAGTAACAATGAACAATTTAGCTGTTTATAACAATAAATGCTTATTATCTCACAGTTTCTCTGGGTCTGGAATTTGGAGCGACATAGCTGGTTTGGACTCGGGGTCTTCCATGAGGTTGCCGCCAAACTGTCTGCTGGGCTACAGGATCTGCTTCCTGGGTGGCTGTCACGCAGGGCTGGCAAGTTGCCGGCAGGTGGCTAGCAGTCCCGGCTCCTCACCAGGTGGACCTGTCCATAGGGCTGGTTGAATGTCCTCACAACATGGAGGGGAAGCTGGCTTCCCCCAGAGCCTTGGAAGTCCCCCTCCATCTTTCCCACGTTATCTTGCTTGTTACACAGGTCAGCCCTATTCAGTGTAGGAAGAGTCTGTCCAGGAGGTAAGAACCATGGCCTTCTTGGAGGAGGCCTACTTCACCCATTTTCTGCCGATTGAAAGGAAACTCTGGGAACTAGTGGGACATACCTGGTTGGACCTTGAAGGTCCCAGGAGGAGGTTGGAGCAGGAAATTCAGGGCCAGGGACCTGTCTCCCACCTGGAAGGCCTTGTAGAGACTAGCTGGCTTCGTGTTTGATTCTGCCTTTTCCTGAAACTCCCCTCCAGATGAGCTCCAGTCTCAGGACTCATGGGGGGAGTCAGATATGAATGAAATAATAACTTAGACTCAGAGCTTGGATTTGGGGTTGTAGGAGCCTACTTAGTCTGGGGTCAGGGAACATGTATTAGTCTGCTGGGGCTGTCATAACGAAGCACCACAAGCCGGGTGGCTTAAAAAAGCCGAATTTATTCTTATAGTTATGGCGGCCAGAAGTCCAAAATGAAGGCATCGGCAGGGCTGGTTCCTTCTGAAGGCTCTCGGGGAGGATCTTCCTTCTTCCAAATTCCGGTGGTTCTGGGCATTCCCTGGCTTGTGACTCCGCCACTCCGATCTCCAGTCTCCGCCTCTGTCTTCCTACTTTCTCCTTCCCTCTGTGTGTGTCTGTGTCCAAGTCTCCCTCTTTCTCTTAGGAAGACTGTCACTGGATTTAGGGCCCCCATCTAGTCTGACCTTCTTTTAACTGGTTTACATTTGCAAAGACCCTGTTTTTGAATGTCACGTGCACAGGCACTAGGGGTCTGGACTGAAACCTATTCCTGTGAGGAACACAACTCAACCTGCTGGAGAAGGAAGCGATGTTGGTGTTGGGTACTGGATGAGTCCCTGAGCTGGGAGGAGAGTTCCTGGAGGGGGAAGGGTGTTGGGTAGACGCAGAGGTGGAGCAGGCTGGGTGGAAGGTCTGAGGTCTGTGTCTGGAGCCAGAGTGGGAAGGACAGCCCATGATGGCTTCTCTCCGAATGGAGCTTTTCTCAGGGCTGAGCCCCTTCAGCCATCAGACGCTCTCACTGGATTGTGTTGAGCCTTAACCTAAAGTTGTTTTTGTTTTTGTTTTTGTTTTAAACCAGGAAACTACTTTGCTACACACTTTTTCATGGGAGGTGAGAAGTTTGACACCCCCCACCCTGAAGGTTACCTCTTTGGAGAAAACATGGATCTGAACTTCCTGGGCAATCGCCCGGTCCAGGTGGGTCTTGGCAGGGCTGGGCATGTGGGTGGTGGGGGCGAGGTCTCTGCCTTCAGCCATCTGTGTCCAAGCTGCAAGGATGAGTGGGTACTAAGTCATCTCCAACTGGGCAGAGCTGCCAACTGGTTGTGTGCACATGACGTGTGCAAGGGGCGTGTCCTGGCGATACTCCCTTAGAGGCAGGGGACCAAGGGTGGGACACTAGGGACAGAGCAGCTGCTGCGGAGTCTGGTGCATCCATGCTATGAGGTTATGAACGTTAGGGTTTTGATCCCTTGAATGATTTCATTTTTATTTTGTTTTATTTTTTAAAATATATTGATTTTTAACAGAGAGGAAGGGAGAGGGATAGAGAGTTAGAAACATTGATGAGAGAGAAACATCGACTAGCTGCCTCCTGCACACCCCCTACTGGGGATGTGCCCGCAACCAAGGTACATGCCCTTGACCGGAATCGAACCTGGGACCCCTGAGTCCGCAGGCCGACGTCTATCCACTGAGCCAAACCAGTCAGGGCTGAATGACTTTATTTGAAAAGAAAAAAGAACAGTGGAACAGAGGGCAAAAGATATGATCCAAAGGAGAAATGTAAACGGCTGGTGAATAATTTTTACAAGTTCTCCTTCACCAGTCACAAGAGAAGCGCATGTTTGCTCATTGTGTTCCATTCCTCCAATGTGTCCCTGGGATCCTGCCAGGGGCTGGGGACAGAGGACAGATCTTGCCCCATTCCCTGCGGGGGCGGGGGGGGGGGATGCAAGCAATAAAGAAGAGAGCAGTTGCCCTGCCCGGTTTGGGTCAGTAGATACAGTGTTGGCCTGTGGACTGAAGGGTCCCAGGTTCAATTCCGATCAAGGGCACCTACCTTGGTTGCAGGCTCAATCCCTGGCCCTGGTTGGGGGCATGCGGGAGGCAACCATTCAATGTGTTTCTCTCACATTGATGTTTTTCTCTGTGTGTCTCTTCCCTTCCCTTCCACTCTCTCTAAAAATCAATGGAAAAATATCCTTGGGTGAGGATTAACAACAACAACAACAAAAAAGAGAACAGTTGACAAATGAGAGAGGGGGACAGGAGAGGGCTCTTGAGGGGGGACACTGACTGGGATTCAATCCCCAGTGTAAGGGGCCAGGCGGAGGCCCTCTCTTTCAGGAGACACTGGGCTCCATCCCCTGAGGTGGTTGAGTTCTGGGGCCTCCCTGCCCTGGAGGAGACGGAGTTCCTCTGGACCAAGGTTCTCCAGGCTGCTTTGACCTCGGAGCAGCTGCTTGACGTGAAATCTTGAATGGATCCTTTGATGGATGGGAGGCTAAGGGCTAGGACACAGAATGCTGGCCTCTGCCACCCTCCCAAGCCCACAAGAATGAGAACAGAACCTCACCTTCCACATCTGTGAAGCCTCAGCTTCGACCCAAGGTCTGACTCAACAGGCCTTCTGTAAATTTGTGTGCTGTTTTAACGTTTACTTAAGACCACCATAGATTCACCTGCACTTGTAGGAAATAACACAGAGATTCCATAGGCCCTTTACCCGGTTTTTCCTGGTGATGGTGTCGTATAAAACCCCAGTGCACTCTCATAAGCAGGAAACCGATATTGATGCATCCCCATTTTCCACCAGTTATACAGCAGTGTGTGTGTGTGTACATGTGTGTGTGTGTGTGCGCGCGTGCGCACACACGCGCATGTGCATGTGTCCCTACTGGAATCTTTATTGACCATTGACCTTGAATAGAAAGCCTGGGAATGAGGTCTGAGAGCCCCAACCTCAATTGCTCCCCTGGGAACCCTCAGGCCAGGTCACTTTCATTGAGAGTCCTTGGAATAGGGCACCACGGCCACAGGGTGTTCTGGTTCTGACTCTCCTTTGCCAGCCATGTTGCCTGCAATTTACCTTGATGTGAATGAGAATAAGGTCATCAGTGGTTGGGATGAGAGCCCCAGAGCGCCGGGTATGTACTTGCATTATCCCTGTTTTCTGTCCTCTGCCATATTGGGGAGTCATTGGGATTGCTTTCGGTTTTTCCCTCCTAGTTTCCTTATGTCACCCCCGCTCCCCATGAGCCCGTGAAGACGCTGAGGAGCCTAGTGAACATCCGAAAAGACTCGCTCCGGCTCGTAAGGTAACCCTTGACCTTGCCACATTCTTTAAACTAGGGGTTCACAACCAAGTGCCCACCCCATGACATTGGACTGTCTGGAGACATTTTTGGTTGTCACAGCTAGAGAGGGTGGTGTTCCTGGTATCTGGTGGGCAGAGACCAGGGTGGCTGTGAATACCCCGCAGTGCACAGGATGCCCCCACAGCCAAGAATGGCGCAGTTCTGACTGTCAGGGTTGATAAACTGCTTTAAACCTGGAAGACCTGAGGCTTCTGGGGCCATCTCCAACCCAAGAGAACTTGTCTCCCTTTCTGTGACAAGGGAAGGAGAACCTTGCATTATTGGGCCTTATTGTCCAAGCAGGGAGTGGGCATCCACATTTCCAGAAAGGTGGGATGCAGCCAGGCAGCCAACGCAGGGCCCCCTGGGGTATGCCATAGCGTGCTCTGTGCAGGCTGGCCATGTTCCTGCAGGCATGCCCCTGACCTACTGCCTGTCCCTCTGCCTGCCTGGAAGGTATAAAGATGGTGCCAACAGCCCCACCGAGGACAGCGAGAAGCCCCATGTCCTCTACAGCCTGGAGTTCACCTTCGATGCCGATGCCCGGGTGGCCATCACCATCTACTGCCAGGCGGTGGAGGAGTTTCTCAACGGGATGGCTGTGTGAGTCCCTGTGGTGCATGGTGGGCCCCAGCAGCTCTACGTCTGTCTGAATTAATATATTTGAACTTTTAGAGGTTCTATTTGAAATAGGGTCCTTTGGACCCCAAAAGTTTGAAATCAACTTCAGCACAACCACAGCTGGCCTGCCACCAGTCTGTGGGGCCTGACCCAGATGGGCCGTGCCGAATGCACCCGTCTCCTCCTGTGGGAGAAAACCATGTGGTGGCCAGACTTGATCTGGGGATGGAGTGGTAGCTGAGAGGTCTGGCTTTACGTCTCTTTGCACACAAGCAGCCCGCAGTGCCAGTTTCTCAGGCCAGACGTGCCACGGTCCTTGAGAGTATCCTTTGTCCTAGAGACAGAGAGAAGCACAAGGGACAGCAGGTGAGGGGTGGGGCACAGGGAGGCAGCAAAGGTTGTGTGTCGGATTCTTGAATGGGGAGATGCCTGAGTTTATCAGAATTGAAAACGTGTACTCTTTAACCCAGCCATTCCTTTCCTGGGAATTTATGTTGGGGATATGCTTACATGTGTGGCTAAGGTGTATGCAGAAGAGGGTCCTGGAAGCCTTGGTTGGAAAGGCAAGATATTGGAGACCACCTGGTGCTCACCAATAGGGGCCTGATTGCATCAGTTAGAGTAAATGCAGTGGAACAGATGCAGTGTTCAGAGAACACAGCACCTCCATATAGGGTGGCTATAGGACAGCTCGGGTACATGAGTATTGAAGGAGCAGAGTGTAGGTGGGCTGCTAGTGGAATATTAAAGAAGAGACACCCATGCGTGACTAGGCCTCAACTCTTCCAGAAGTGATGCCTGGGTTGTGGATGGGCAGGGAAGCAGATGGCTGGGAGCAAACACAAGGGTGTGGGGAATGGGAGGGCACTTGGCACTGCCAGGGTGGTGGAGTAGTTTCTCTATGGGCGAGACAGTGTACATTTTAGTGCCATGTTTGTTTAAAGAAGTCAACAAACCGTAAAAAGCAAATGGAAAGGCATAGCCATATCTGGAAAGGTAGCCATGTTATCTGGCAGGTGTGGGCTCTGGAAGACTAGTAACCGGGCTGGACCCAGGCAGAGCTGTGGTGAGCAGAATGAGACCTTGGAGGCCCTCGGGGTGTGAGGGCCACGTGGCCACATAGACTGGCTTTCTGCCGCACCAGAGACGGGCTGGGACTTACAGGGTGGGACCTGCAAGTCAGGTTTCTACTAGGTCCCCAAAAGACCAGTGCCTGCCAGCGCCTGCCTCAGGTCCTGGCAGTCTCACCTTCCTTTCTCTCCTTTAGGTACAGCCCCAAAAGCCCTGCCCTGCAATCTGAGACTGTCCACTATAAGAGGGGTGTGAGCCAGCAGTTCTCTCTGCCCTCCTTCAAGATCGACTTCTCAGAGTGGAAGGACGATGAGGTAACCTCCTGGCCCCTTGCCGGAATTCCCTCCCCCTTGTGGGGGCAAGCACAGTGGGGCCTGTTGGCTGATTCCTAACATTGATAGGCATCAGGAGTAGCTGTGGACCAAGGTGTGTGTGCTCATTTGGGCATGTGGAGTGCAGTTCAGTCCAAGTGTTGGCTGGAAGGAATGATCGAAGCAAGACAGCCGGCCACAGCAGAGGCTCCAGTACCCAGCTTTGGTGTGGTTGTCGGGCCCACAAGACTGCAGCGTGGCAGGATCCCTTCCACCTAGTGGTTCCACAGCGAGGGACAGTAATTTACAGGATGTGAAGGGTGTTCATTGCAGCTCTGTCTATAATAGTAAAAATTGGAAACAATGTACACGTCCATCACAAAGGGAGTTGCTTAGTTTATTGATGTTATGGGAGCCACCCATATATTTAATGTGGGCACCCTGGCTCATGTCTATTATGGGATGCCATGCAGTCTTAAAGCACAGGAGAGATCTGTGTATTCTGTACATACTGATGTGGAAAGCCCGTTCTGGGCTTGGCGAAGACCAAGTTGCAAACAAATGCAGTATAATCTCTTGTATGTGGCATCCACACAAATGCTCAAAACCATTTCTGCAGGTATAATGTATGTGTATATAATTCTTGAGGAAAAACCAGAAAAGATGCTCATCAAGCTGAAGACAGTTATTCTGCAGAGGGTTGTGGTGTAAGGAATACATACATAGACATGTATACCCGGGCCTGTGTCTGTGGGGTCTGCATTCATGGATTCAACACAGATGGAAAATATATTTTTTAAATGTTATGTTGTTGGTAATGTGTGCTATGTAGTTAGGCCTACGATGGAATGGTTATGTCTGTACTGAACATGTACAGACTTTTTTTTTCTTGTCATTATTTCCTAAACAATACAGTAAAACAACTATTTATATAGCATTTACATTATACTAGGTCCTGTAAGTAATCTAGAGATGATTAAAAGTACAGGGAAGGATGAATGTAGTTTATATGCAAATACTACTCTTATTTTATTGAAAGGACTTGAGCACCTGAGAATTTTGGTATCCAAGGGGGGTCCTGGACCCCAGCCCTCACATATACTGAGAACAGACTGTATAGTGTGAGTGCTGACACTGTATACACTTCTGACCTATTTTTGTTTCATTGTTTTTACCAATTAAGGTATAATTTACATACTAAAAAATTCACCCATAGTTTAATTTAGAGATTTTAGTAAATTTATGATCACAGCTATTACCAATCCTGTTTTAGAATCCAGTTTCCATCCTTCTTATAGGATCCCTCATGCCCATTTACAGTTAACCTCTGTTCCTACTGCCAGACCCTGGCAAACACTCATGGATTTGCCTGTTCTGGAGATTTCATATAAATAGAACCATATACTATTTGACCTTCTGTATCTTTCACTTAGCATCATGTCTTTTGGCTGTTGGCTATTTTGAATAATGGTACTATTTTGTATACAAGTTTTTGTTTTGAATGCATGTTTTCATTTGTCTTGGCTATAATTTACTATTTAATTATTTTAAAATATATTTTTATTGATTTCAGAGAGGAAGGGACAGGGAGAGAGAGATAGAAACATCAACGATGAGAGAGAATCATTGGTTGACTGCTTCCTGCAAACCCCACACTGGGGATCAAGCCTACAACCTGGGCATGTACCCTAACCAGGAATTGAACCATGACCTCCTGGTTCATAGGTCAATGCTCAACTGTGGAGCCACGCCGGCCAGGCTGCTTTTTAATTAAAAATTTTTTTTCAGACTTTTTTTAAAGAGTGGGTTTAGGTTTACAGCAAAAGTAAGAGATAAGTTATGGAGATTCCCCTACCTGCCTCCACACATGTATACTTTTTATTTTTTTATTAAATCACTAGAGGCTTGGTGCACGAATTCATGCATGGGTGGGGTCCAGCCAGCCCACCTCGATCTGGGCCAATCGGGCTGGGCCGGCCGAGGAGAGGGTCCATGGGCGGTTGGTGGGCCGGCCCCACCTCCTAGTTGAACTCCTGGTCGAGGGGACAATTTGCATATTAGCCTTTTATTATATAGGATATTGTGACATGTTTCCAGGTCAGAACTCACCACCTCAAAGCTGGAGTGGCTTCTCTGCTGGTTTCCCTACTATCCCCCTTGGGGGGTTCCATTTATTTTAGTCAAAGCCACGTCCCTTTCTTCTTCTGCTCTTTGCCTTTTTCCTGGGTCCATCTGACCTGGGGTTTGCAAAGACCCTGTCTGGTGGGGAGGATCTCTGTGCCAGAGTGCCAGGCCCCCGCCAGGGCCATGTAGGGAAAGAACAAAGAATGAGCCAGGAAGCCTGTCAGTGACTCATGCTGGCATCAGCTGCCTGGTTCTGCCTCCTGATTTAGGGGGTTGCTTTTCCCTAAGAAAGCTGCTCTCCTTGCAGTAAAAATAAACATCTCCCTCAGCTTCTCTGTGGTGGGTGGAAGCCTCTCTCCTTTTCCAGCATGCTTAGCTCTGGTGTGTGACTGTGTGGAGCAGGAATTTGTCGGGGAGATGGTTCTCGCTCCCCGGGTCCCCACACTTCTTGGGCCCCTCCCTGTGTGTGTGGAGGCTTATTCTGTCAAGGCACTCCAGGTGCCCAGGGAGATCTGGGGTCACAGTATCCCCCTTGTCTCCATCTCTGTTCCCCTGGCCCAGCACTGGGCTGACCAGTGTAGGTTTTTGCTGGAGTTTCCTGAATTAGTTGACCAAAGGCCGCTGAATTAGTTGACCAAAGGCCAGTGTAGGTTTTTGCTGGAGTTTCCTGAATTAGTTGACCAAAGGCCTGGCTCTGTTGACAGCATGTGATCGCCAAGCTGAATGTTAGCAGAGGCACTGGGAGGGCTGCTGCAACAGACATCTGTCTATGTCAGAACTTTTTTGGTTGTAACAGACAGAAACACACCTAAGTCGAGCTTAAGAAAAGAAAACCAGGAATTATTGGCTTAGATTCTGAAAAGCTGGATGGTTTGTGGTTTGCTCTAGGGCCCATGTCATCAGGGCGGGGTTTGCCCTGCATGAGCTGGCCTTTATCTCAGGCTGTGCGCTAGATCAGCAGCTTGGGCCCCAGAGTGCATGAATGAACCCCACTTGAGGCAGGCTTGTGCCATCCTCTGGCCAAGCACAAACCCAGGGTGGGAGAAAGGTCGTTTCCAAAATTCCCCAAGGAAAATTGGGGTGCTGCCATCTGAAAAGCTAGACAGGTCAATAGAAGCTGTCTGCACCTTTTTTGTGGGATTTAGACAGATCTGGGGCAGGTTGAATAAGAGCAGAGTCTCAAGGATGAAAATACCAAGGGTGTCCTGGGGCCTATCTCAGGAACTGAGGACACAGGTGGGCAGGCCTGGAGGTGACCCTGGCTCTCATGAAGCACTGGGCAAGATTGTGCTACCTCTGCAAGTGTGGGTTTCCCATCTGGCACCTGGATGTAGGAACATCCTATCTGTAGGGTGTCCATCCGGGGTTTGTACACAGTGCTCACTTAGCTCAGGCTCCCTAAGGGGTTTGTACACAGTGCTCACTTAGCTCAGGCTCCCTCAGGGGGTTTGTACACAGTGCTCACTTAGCTCAGGCTCCCTCAGGGGTTTGTACACAGTGCTCACTTAGCTCAGACTCTCCCTCAGGGGTTTGTACACAGTGCTCACTTAGCTCAGGCTCCCTCAGGGGTTTGTACACAGTGCTCACTTAGCTCAGGCTCCCTCAGGGGTTTGTACACAGTGCTCACTTAGCTCAGGCTCCCTCAGGGGTTTGTACACAGTGCTCACTTAGCTCAGGCTCCCTCAGGGGTTTGTACACAGTGCTCACTTAGCTCAGGCTGTCCCTAAGGGGTTTGTACACAGTGCTCACTTAGCTCAGGCTCCCTCAGGGGTTTGTACACAGTGCTCACTTAGCTCAGGCTCCCTCAGGGGTTTGTACACAGTGCTCACTTAGCTCAGGCTCCCTCAGGGGTTTGTACACAGTGCTCACTTAGCTCAGGCTCCCTCAGGGGTTTGTACACAGTGCTCACTTAGCTTGGACTGTCCATCGTGAGCTCTATCTGCCATAGAGACAGAAGGAGAGAGGGTCCAGAGTCCCTGTCTGCTGGTGGTGTAGCCACCGCACACACCTCTCCAGACCACCGCTATTAATTCAACAGCAAAACAAGACTCAGCTGTACTGAGGCAGCACTTGGCTTATTGTGCAGGGGAGAAAGATAATGCAGATTACTTGGTGGCTGCTCTAAGGCACCGACATCAGCGCCAAGGATTATATTCCCAAAGCTGGCCGGAAGTACATGGGATGAATTGCACAAAGCTTTGCTCCCGATCTGGCTCTGTCACCTGAACAACCTCCTTCTGGGCTTAATTACAGCCCTTGAGAGGGCAGCACCTGTGTATCACACTCAGTGTCATCGTCACCAGAGTAACTGGGATGGTCGTTGGCAAGATTGCTCCTGTGCCCTGACTCAGGATGGGAGGGCAGGAACAAGCTTGCAGAGGAACCCTGTCCCCAGACATGTGACTCCTGTCTTGGGTGATCCCCTCTCCCAAGAATCATCTCAGAGCAAGAGAGCAGGGCAGACAGGTGGTCCCTCCTCCTATAAGTCCCAGTTTCCTTGGTGCAGCCCTTCCACCCTGGAGCTGTGGAAGCATGAGGCCTGGGTGGGCCCGGACACCTCCCCACATGTAGCTGCCCTGCACACGTCCCCACGAAGTCCTTTGTTCCTGGGGTCCAAGCCCTGTGTCTTTCCGCCTGCCTGCCTTGGCTCCTGCTGTCGAACACATGCAGCTTCGAATGGCTGGTGCTCACTGTGTGCTCTCCCAGGCACCATGCTCAGAGCCTTTGCATTAGACCAGTGGTTCTCAGCCTTCCTAATGCCGCGACCCTTTAATACAGTTCCTCATGTTGTGGTGACCCCCAACCATAAAATCATTTTTGTTGCTACTTCATAACTAGAATTTTGCTACTGTTATGAATTGTAATGTAAATATCTGATATGCAGGATATATTTTCATTGTTACAAATTGAACATAATTAAAGCATAGTGATTAATCACAAAAACAATATGATTATATATGTGTTTTCCGATGGTCTTAGGCGACGCCTGTGAAAGGGGCGTTCGACCCCTAAAGGGGTCGCGACCCACAGGTTGAGAACCGCTGCATTAGACGCAGCTTTTTTAAATTTTTTTAAAAAATATATTTTATTTATTTTTTACAGGGAGGAAGGGAGAGAGATAGAGAGTTAGAAACATCGATGAGAGAGAAACATCGATCAGCTGCCTCCTGCACATTCCCCACTGGGGATGTGCCCGCAACCCAGGTACATGCCCTTGACCGGAATCGAACCTGGGACCCCTCAGTCCGCAGGCCGACGCTCTATCCACTGAACCAAACCGGTTTCGGCTAGACGCAGCTTTTATGCCTCTTTTAGATGGGGAAACAGGCTGGGTTAGGGAGCTATGCTCCAACCTGGCAGTTCTGGGTCTGACCCTGTCCCAGCACCTGGTTCCTTTCCCAGTCCTGCCTCCCACTGACGGCCAGGGACCCACGGGCACCTTCTAGGCCTCTCCTGTGCAGCCCCTGCTGTGGGTGCCCTCAGTAGCTGTCTCTCTCCTGTGGGCTTGGTGTGACCTGCCCCACAGCCCCCACTGGCCAGCAGATCTGGAGGCCACGCCCACGTGGACGTGTTGGGAGGAGCGTGGCCGTCAGCCTGAGAGCAGCTGGGACCGCAGGGAGTGAAGCTGGAGAAGGAGAAGTGACGGGAGGGTTCTCCTCGAGTTCAGACCAGCCACGTGGTCCCTTTGCTTTCCTTCCATCTTGGGTTGGGGCCTCACCAGGCGCCTTTCTTAAGGTTGAACACAGTCCCATGTGACCCAGCCCTTCCACGCCTGGTGTGCCCAGGTGAACTGAGAATGGCTCAAACAGCTGCTTATCCGCATTGTTCATCTCAGCACTGGCCATGGCAGCCAGAGGGGGAACAACCCAGATGTCCGTTAGAGGTGACCAGTCTAGCCACGCAGCAGAACATTACTCAGCCTCGAGAAGGAAGGAAGAGCTGATGTGCCGTCGCAGGGGTGAACCTAGAAAGCATGCTGAGTGAAAGAAGCCAGACACAAAAGACAGAGCGAATGATTCCGTTTCTATGAAATGTCCAGAACAGGCAAGTTCTTACAGAGTAGAGTCTGTGTGTGTGTGTGTGTGTGTGTGTGTGTGTGTGTGTGTGGCGGGGGCGATGGGAGTAGTAGCTTAATGGGGACAAGAGTTCCTGTTTGGGATGATAAAACCTTCTGGAAATGGATGGTGGTGATGGTTACAAGACCTTATGAATGTACTTAATGCCATAGAATTGAATACAAACTTGCCATTTTAAACATTTTTATCTGTTTTAACACACACACACACACACACACGTGTGCGCGCGCGCGTGCACGCACAGCCAAGACTCTGTCCTCGCTGCTGTCTGTCCTCACAAGCTCTGCTGTGATGCCACTCTCCCTGCACCTTCTCCAGTGCAGTCTGACCCATCTCGCCACCTTTTCTCCTCAGCTGAACTTTGACCTGGACCGGGGAGTGTTTCCAGTGGTCATCCAGGCCGTGGTGGACGAAGGAGACGGTGAGAAGCCTTTTTCCTTTCCTACTCCCTTCCAGCGAGTGGACCTTGTGAGAAGAACCATTTCCTGAGGCCCTCCCCACTGTCGGCAGGGAGGAATGTATTCAGAAGTGATGAAGGATGGGGAAGCCTTCTTAGCAGGTTTAGAACCAGCTTTCCATCTCCGCTCTGGGGCCCCCTTGGTACTTCTCCTACCTGGGGCTGTGGGGCCTCACTCCAGCTCAGGAATTCCTGGCCAGCCGGTCCCCACCCGCAGTGGCAAGGCCCTCTGCCAACGCCTCGCTCTCATGGCAGTAACATCAGCTAGACAGCCTCTGATTCTGGTGTCCGCCCTGCAGTGGAATGATGGAGATGGTTAGCAGAGACCAGCAGAGATCTAGACAGGCCCTCCTCAGGCCATGCTGGGTTCCTAACTGACCCGGCCAGTCCTGCCCAATCTCCCTTCCACTGCTGTGGGCTTCAGGCCCCCAGCCTGGGGTGTGAATGCTGGAGCTCTGCCAGGGCTCCTCAGCCTGCCTGAAATGTCCCTTTTGTTCAGAGTGAGACAACAGGTGTTAAGAGTGGTCACTTTGGAGGAGGGGAGAGATGTGAGCCAGAGGGAGGTCGGGACCCCCAGGCGGAGGAAGGTTCTAGGCTGAGAGCGGGGAAGCACTGCTGCGAGGAAGGAGAAGGAAGGTGGGGTGGGGCACGTCAGCTCTCTGAGTGCTTTCTTCTCTCTCTTCTCTCCGGGGCAGTTGTGGAGGTGACTGGCCACGCCCACGTGCTGTTGGCTGCCTTTGAAAAGGTAAGTGCCATCCTGCCCCTTGACCTGGGAGCTGTGGGCAAAGAGGTGGTGTTTTGAGACCAGAAGTCTGAACTTGGGGGTTATGCCAGCCCATGTGGGCTTAGTGCCTGAGGCCCAGGGCAGATGGAAGGTTCCCTAGTCGATCCAGGCTCCCGGGGAGATGATGCATCTCAGGAGGCTGGGCCTTGAATTCGAGCGTCACCATCAGGCCTGTGCTGTGTGGTGAGGCATGTTCTGGGAAGCCAGTCCGCTACAAGTCCCTATAACTTGCCAGTACCCGGAACGGGATGCCTGGGAGGGCTCTGGTCAGACCAGTTTCCCTCGGGGATTTGAGGGGATTGTCCAAGCCTCCAGCTCCTAAGGCCGAGGCCTTTCCCACCAGACCCAGGATCCTGAGTGTCATTGGAACCTCTCAACATGGACCCTGAACATTCACAAGTGGTCCTGCCTCACCTCCAGGAGGCTGCATCCCCTGGTCCCTCGGGGCTGGGCAGGCCTCCCTCTCCACTGGGGCCTGCCTAACTTTGGGCAGTCATTCATTGTACTCGCTCATCTGATGTCCAGGAGGGTAGAATGCCCCTAGTTTGTTGGCCTCAGTATGCAGTAGATGCTCAGTGAATGCTGGTGGGGTGGGCGAGGGTGCCACCTGCATAGTATGGTCCTAGACCTCTGTGGGTGGTGGAGGGAAAAGAGGGGATACCCCACATGTAAAGGGGCCATTTATGTGAGAGGATTCATTTAGTAGTGCCTTTAGTCTGCATTAGATATTTTTGAACTTTGGTGTTTGCCCCTTCTTTCCACAAAGACCCGAGTCCCCAGGCTGCCCCGGTGTTCATGTGTTATGGCTGTGTTTGCGGGCACAGTTGATGGCAAGGATGGTCTGCCTCACCACTGTCTCCACATTAGGACATTGCTGGGTCCAGAGATAGTCCCACTGGCCTGTCACTACTGGTTCTCGGGCTAGGCAGTTCCGTGTCATCCACGCAGCAAGCAAGTCCCCCACTGTGTTGGGACAGGGTCCCTGTTCACTGAGACCTTTAACAGAGGTAGTGGGGTATGTCCTGTGTTTGAAAATGCCGCGCCTGACAGCCTACCCCCAGTGCTCTCTGACATTGGTTGGCGCTCTGTGTAGTGTTTTTGGCACCAGTCTGTGGCCTATTTGGATGAGCATTAAGGACCCCACGAGGAAACCAGGCTCAGTCTACTTGTTTTGGAATTCCCACCACTCCTGGGCATCCTGCTGACCCCCAGCTTCTTCAGCCGGTTGTGTGTCTGCAGCCCTGAGATCCTACGTGCAGAGCCTGGCCCATTCCTGTGATCCGGGTCATTCCAGATGCCCAGAGGTCAATATAGCCAGGCCTGAGACCTTTCTGGCCCCTTTGCCCAGTGCTCTCGCTGGCCTTCTGAGGCGGAGGCGAAGCCAAGTGCCCGAGCAGAGATTGGCCCTCTGCCTCTCCAGTTCTGGGTGCCAGCTGTGCTCCCTAAGCCTGGCTGGAAGCGACAGGAACTATTTACCCATCTGCTTCTTTGGCTGAGGCGGATGGGCCATCGCTGGCAAACATTTCATTCTGTGCTTCCAGTTTAGAGCTCAGTGAGAAACTGCATTATTTTTGGAGTCCAACATACTAGAAACTTCTGTAGGAACCCATCAGCTTTCCCAGAAAATGCACGTGCTAGTCTCAGTTGACTCAGAAGGATAATTGGTGGTGGTGTAAGATCTGATCTCGTACCTTAATTAATCTTGTCGACTCTGAGTAGTATGTCTCCCAGTTACCACTGAACACGTTTGCTCTAGTTTGTTCTCACGGTGTTTAGACCTTTGGGTTTTCCCGCATGATGCTTGGCTTCAGGCCTTCCACGGTGGGCAGGACCACTTGCCCCAGCACGTGCATGTTCTGGGCTGTGTCTCTGACTAGGTCAAGCCCTTTGAGGGCCAGGACTGGGGTCTAGTTCTTGCCGTCTAGGTGCTGCTTCTTGTCCATCATCAGAACTTGGCTGGTGGCTGTAACCTTGAGTGTGCTTGAGAGCTGCGCAGGGAGGGTTTGGCTTTACAGGTCAGGGTGGGACCCAGGAGGTGGTATCTTTAGAAGGTTCTCAGGGTAGTGTCGAGGCCAGGTCAGAGGCCGCATTTGGGTCTTTAGGCTTCATGCGGCCCCTCCTCTCTCCAGCCATGGATGTGGACTGACCAAGGAACGGTCTTCAGCTGGCTGAGCAGTGCCGAGTTAACCTGTGTTTTCCTCCCTGCAGCATGTGGATGGCAGTTTCTCCGTGAAGCCGTTGAAGCAGAAGCAAATTGTAAGTCTGTCAGAGGAAATGTCATGAGCCCTTTTGATTCAAAAGACATATGTGTAGTCTCCGTGGATTATTTCCCTGCCCACCAAGGTGGCTGTAGGTAGCTGGTGACAGGCCTGTTGACGGGTCTGTCATCGCTGTGGGCTCTGGGAAGTCAGGGTCGGGGTCATCGGGTGCGTGTGTACTGCATACCTACCATGCACAGCAGCATTGACTGGGGTAGCCCTGAGTCTTGTCCAGCATGAACATCATAAGCTTCCAGTAACTGTTTGCTGAATGAACGAATGGACAGAGGAAGGAAACAGAAAACTCAGACCAAAGCCTCCCCGCTTCCTTCTCCTCACAAATTATGGAAAATACCTCAGTATGGGGCAAAAATGGATTTACTTAATATTTGAGAGGAAAGATGGAGTATTTTGGAACAAGTGGGAGCTGTAGAGAAGTACAGCTTTTCAGTCAGTAATCCATGGTCCTAAACCAGGATGAAATATTCTGGTGTCCTCCACACAGTGAACATTGAGAGAATGGGGTCCCCTGAACTGTGCCTCTTAATGTTGAGACTGATTTTAACCATGGCCATGGTGGGGCCTGTTTCCAGTCCATGGTTAGGTTATCCTTGTAGGTAGCTGCTCAGGTGTATAAGCCACCCAGGAATGGTGTTGGTTCGTTTTTTAAAAGGGGTAAGGGGAACTCTGGCAGATCCAGACTTGACGGTTGCAGAAGGGCTGGGGATCCTAGGGATGGTCAGGGCACTTGTCTTGGGAGAGGACTATGGCTCTCAGGAGGCATGTTTGTGTCCATGGAACTATGGGAAACGCAGAAGCTCAGACCACTTTTTTTTTTTTTAATATATTTTATTGAATTTTTACAGAGAGGAAGGGAGAGAGATAGAGAGTTAGAAACATCGATGAGAGAGAAACATCGATCAGCTGCCTCCTGCACATCTCCCACTGGGGATGTGCCGGCAACCCAGGTACATGACCTTGACCGGAATCGAACCTGGGACCCTTGAGTCCGCAGGCCGACGCTCTATCCACTGAGCCAAACCGGTTTCGGCTCAGACCACTTTTAAACGTGGCCAGGGTGAGGCCTGAACCTGGTCATGCTTGTGGGGGTGGTGATGGGTGAGTCCATAGTGCCTTCTCTCCAGGTTGAGGACAGTAAGTGTGCAGAGGGTATGGTTGCTGGGCCTGTGTGAAGCTTGGCTCCAAGCCCTCTCTGGCGGACAGGACCACCCGGGCCCCAGCCCTACTCCCGTGCTACTAGTTGGGCTGGGCAGGTAGCAGTTTCTCCCTGCCCCTCTCCTGGCATTGGACCCACTCTCTGGGGTTGGGACTGGACAAGAATTCCCAACTGTGCCTGCTTCCAGGACCCAAACCTGGTGTTGGGGAGGTGGTGCTGAGGAGCCCTTGAGTGGGGGCTGGCAAGTGCCCAGATGCCTCTTTGCTCTCCAGGTAGACCGGGTCAGCTACCTGCTGCAGGAGATCTATGGCATTGAGAACAAGAACAACCAGGAGACGAAGGTATGTGCTGTGGTGAGTGCGCACTGTGACTCCAGGCTGGCCTCACTCCCCACTTGCCCTTCTCTTGCAGGGAAGCAGGCTCATGAGAATGACTTGCCTGGGGCCCCCAGCCCCGGCCAGGAAGGACCCTGCAGGTCGATGTAGATGAGCCAGTTCCCTTCCACTCCTTCCCCTGGAGGTCCTGGGACCCCAGGTTCCATAATTTTTTCTTAACTTTTTAACAGGAGTTAACAATTCAGTTACATTGTCCTTTTTCCAGCAAATTCAGTGGCTTGTTACCATCGTTGGGCTGCTGGCTGGTGGGGTCCCCTCTTGCCCGATTGGGCTTAGCCAGTGCCGCCTTGGCCTTTCTGTTCTCAAAACCATTGGGTGAGCCCCGCTGCCCTGCCGGCTGGCTCCTCCCCCGACTCGAGCCCCTGTGGTATGTGGGGAGAGGGGTGCTCCATTGGATAGCTGTGACAGAGGGTGGTGGCTGGCAGAGTGTGTCTGGCACAGCCAGGAAGTTAGCAGAGACTCAGCCAGTGCCTTTGTCACCTTTTTCAAAGGCACGAATGGAACTGCTGCCTTTTAAAAATCTCCAGAAGTCTCACACACCAGCAGGAACTGGCCAGAAGCAGGACAGGGCAGCTTGGCCAGGCCCGGGCCTCAGATGAGCGCTCTCTGCTTGATTCCCATGTTTTACACCAGAGGTCACTGACTTTCAGTGAAGCGCCAGATAGTAAATACTTCCAATGTGACTGGCCTGCATGTGTCCATTGGATATTCACACTGCCATTAGAGCACTGAAGCAGCCAGGCGCTATGGAAACAACCGGGGGAGGCCGTATTTCAATAAAACTTTATTTACAGAAACAGAGCAGGCCGTAGTTTGCTGATCCCTGTTTTAGAATGTTGCTGCCTCTTGATCCACATTTTGTTTTCCAGAAGCTGCCATTACTGGATGAAAATATGTCAAACAAGTTAGACTTGTCTGATTTGTTTGTTTGTTTGTCTTAGCCAAATAAGTGGGTTCCTTCTGGAAGATGTGTTCCTAGTGTTGTGTCTCTTCCACATTTTTTCTTTGGTTTTGGGAATAGAAATAGACCTGAGTTTCTTGATTTGGGGAGTGTGTTGGGCGGGGCTCCATATTCTCCTCTGTGCTGTGGGGTGGGCTTGGGCTGGATCTGCGCCTGGTGCCCAGGGAGCGTGACTCTGGGCCAGCTACTGAGGCGTCCTGCTCTGCAGCGACCTTCCTCCACCCTCGTGGGCTTCCCTTTGCCCCCAGGGGCCGTGGGGGCTGGCTGGTGGGGCAGCCAGGAGCAGGAAGACCCCTTCCCGGCCCCTTAGCTGGCCCCCGGCCACTGACCCTCAGCCTTCATTGTCCCTGCAGCCTTCAGACGAGGAGAACAGTGACAACAGCAATGAGTGCGTGGTGTGCCTGTCAGACCTGCGGGACACGCTGATCCTGCCCTGCCGCCACCTGTGCCTGTGCAACTCCTGTGCCGACACGCTGCGCTACCAGGCCAGCAACTGCCCCATCTGCCGGCTGCGTGAGTGGGGACCCCGCACCAGGGCAGCCGGGCACTGAGACTGGCAGGCATCAGCCTCCCACCTGGTTCGCAGCGAATGGGAGTCTGGTGGTTAATGCAGGTAGTTCACACCCACGGCGATGCTGCGGGCATGTGAAAGGTTCAGGTCTCAAAAGTCTGCCTCCAGAAAAACGGGGCGTTCAGGACGGCCGGGAAGGGTGCTCCAGGCAGGTGTTGGCAGTGAGGTTAGAACTGGACAGCATTTTTTTCCTTTTTATTGTATTTATTGGGGTGATGCTAGTTAACAGAATTATACAGGTTTCAGGCACAATTCCACAACACATCATCTGTGCACTGTAGTGTGTGTTCATCACCCAAGTCACCTCTCCTTCCATCACCTGTGTAGACATTGCGCCAACACAAATGTCCACATACACATGTCTGCCTGCCTGTGGTCACTGTAACTTCCAGGAAGAGACTCGCAGTGTCCAGGGCTCGCTGTGTGCTTTTTGCTGGTTGGCAGGTGTAACTTGAAGCCATGTTCACTGTCTAGAGTACAGTCAGGTGTGGCAGGTCAGAGACTGGCTGCGTCCTGCCTGCCGCCTCTAAAGCTCCACTGAGCTGGGGCAGCGTTGTCCTGGCCTCTGTCTTCCTCTGTTCTACCTGAATTGGAAACATGGCCTGTCCTGGGATCGCTGTGGTGTGGGTGGTGGTCAGTGTCCCCGCAGCTGGGCGGGTCTCAGTGGTGCTGGAACTGGCTGCTCTTTGCCTGACATCAGCCCTTCCTTTCTGTACAGCTTTCCGGGCCCTTTTGCAGATCCGGGCGGTGAGGAAGAAGCCAGGAGCCCTGTCCCCCGTCTCCTTCAGCCCCGTTCTGGCCCAGAGCGTGGACCACGATGAGCACTCTGTAAGTGCCTCTTCCGTCCTGCGTTGGGGGGCGTAGGGCTGGAGGGAGAGGGGTTTGGAGGAAGCCCTGCCTTCTTGTTAGGCATCCAGATGCTTCCAGGGCCTGCCTTCCTGTTAGGACAGTGTCTGGCTCCCAGCGGGGCTGACTTGGTCAGGTGGCTGGAAGGAGGCCACCTGGGCCCAGCCCTTGGAGCAATACCTGGCCAGGACCAAGGCTGTCTGGCCAGCACCTCCACCTCTGGCTCTCTGGGCCTCTGTCCTCATCTGCCCTGCATGGCCCCACAGGAGCTAGAGCTACAGTGCTTGTCACCATCACTCCACCAAGTCAGACAGCCAAAGGCACTCCTCGTGTTTGGGAAGTGAGGTCTCCTTCACAGGGTGACTGTAACATGCCCTTTGTGCCTTTTCTCCCTACCTCTCCAGCCTGGGTACACAGGGCCCCTCAGCAACCGCCCCTGCCCTGGCTCCTGAGAAACGATGAGGTGGACCTACTGCAGGCAGGCGAGGGATGTTGAGCTCTGGCTTTGGAGAGAGGTGGGCAGAGACTCAGACAGCGAGACAGATGTACGGGCAGAAACAGGCGAGAGACAGACAGAGAAGTAGAGACACAATGCAGAGATGTGGACAGACACAGATAGGGCAGGAGATAGATACGGAGGCAGAGACACAGTAGGGATAAGAGTGAAAGGGAGATACTTACGAGATGGTTAGGGAGAAGGACGTAGAAAGAGACATGGAGAGAGAGAGAGACACAGACAGAGGTGGGGAAGGGGGTGGAGAGGAGAGGCCGAGGTAGACAGATGGGGAGGAAGGACCAGGGAGCAGGTGCCGGGCAGGTCCGGGTCTCAGGCTCCCAGGTCCTTGCTGTCCACGAGTGTTGTCAATTGTGAGTCTGTTTTCTTGGCTCCCAACTGAGGGTGTTTGGACCTAGTGATTCCTAGAGGTCCTGCCAACTCCCTAAAAAGAAAAGAGGACTCGCACCCTCCGGATTGGCGCACCCAGAAGATGGGCTCCTGCCCTGGGCCAGCGGGTGTTATGTATTCGGCCCATATACTGTTTCTGAAAATTGGGCTACTGTTTAAAACTCTGGAAATTTCCCTTAAAACTCAGACTTATGACTTACCTTTCAAAATCTGACTGTGTCGTCTTGAAGCTGCAGCAAAGGCAAGGCTGCCCCCGGGGTGAGCCCCATCACCTCCCCTTCTCCTGGGGCAACCACACTGTCTGTTTTGCCTGCTGGGCCCTGTGGACATCAGGGTTTATGACTCAGAGTAGGCCCCCCACTCGTTTGACATTGGACTTGGTTACAGACACTGCACACTTCCTCCAACAATGAGTTTTAGGAGAGAGAATAGCACTTGAGTGTGATTCGCTCTGGGAAGGGAGGACTCTATTTCACAGAGGGGTGGCTGCTCAGGTGATGGGTTTTATTGCCGCTTGCGTGTTACTCTCCCAGGTTCTGTTTGCCCCTCTTGGCCTGGGAGCTGTGATGCTGCCCACAGTGCAGGGCGGGCTGGGGCTTGGATGGTGACCGCCAGTGCCTTCCTCTCCCGAGGGTGGTTATTGTCCGCCCTGTTACCTGTCGGAGCCATTTCCACGTCGTACCAGAAGAGCCCAAACTAGGCATTTTCTCCAATGAGTTGGGGTGATTTGGGGCTGATTTTTTACCCACCCACCATTAGGACTTGGAAGTTGGTGATAAGTTTAAGAGGCCCGCATGTCCCTTCCCCTTGCCCAGCCAGGCCCACTTGTGTGGAGCACCCAACCACTCTCACACCCCCCTTCCCAGGACCTGCTGCTACTCGAGGTGACCCAGACTGCGGGTGGGCATTGGGTGAGGGTGGACTCCCCCAGCAGCACAGCTCCCAGCCAGGCCCTTGAGGCCAAACCTGCATTTTGGCGAGGTCCCCACAATTCATGTGCATGTGAAGTTGCGAAGCGCAGGCTGGCGGCACTCCCACAGCCAGCAGACCAGACCGACCCCAGCCATCCAGCTCCAGGGCCGTACGGAGGGTAGTAGTTGTAAAATGTATGATTTTTATTTTGACAGTGTCCCTTTAAAAAATCAAAGTCGCACCCTGCCTCACTGGCCAGCAAGAAACCTAAAAGGGAAACTGTAAGTGTGTTTGGCCCTGTGGCCGTGTCTCTGCCCCTCACCCTGATTATTAAGCCAATGACAAGTACGGGAAGTCATTTTCACCCCAGGTTGACGTGTTTGGTTGATTTAATCTGTCAAATCCACTCTCCCCAGTCCCCGGCTTCCCTGCTCAGAAAAGGAGTTTTGTGGAACAAGCAGAGCTCGAGGTCTGTCGGCAAAAAGCCAGTCTCTTGGATCCCCCCTGCCAGGCACACCGGCCTCAGGCCGCCCCTCCCGCCAGCTCTGCTCTGTCTGTGGTCCCAGTGCCCTCGTTCCCCTTTTGTTTCTTGCTGGCAGTGGAATGATGGAGGTGGAACTAATGTGGCGGCTAGATTTTGCAAATAGCACTCCTAGCGCTTGCTTGTCATTCTACACCCCCTGCTCTCTGCCCCTTGGGTTTTAGCTCTTTGGGCCAAAGATTTGGTTTTCTTGCATTTTCCCTGCATTTCAAGGAGCAGGCTGGGGGCCGGAGAGTGTGTGGCAGCCAGGCTGGGCCTCTGGTAAAGCGTAGAGGTGGGAGTCACTGGGGAGTCAACCTACAGATAGGTGTTTTCTTTTAATGGGGGCTGAAGGTGTTCAGAGTAATTATTTACCTTTAAATTGAAGATGGGTTGGGAACAAATGCAGGGCACCACTGGCTCAGGTGACCTGGGGACCGGGAGGTGCTTGCTGAGGGCAAGAGACCCCCATCCTGACCCCCCTGCCTCCTCTATGGTCCCAGGATTGCTTTACCACCTTCCTTCCTGCCAGTCAGATGGGTAGGTGGCCCTAGCCGGTGTGGCTCAGTTGGTTGAGCATCGTCCCGTGTACCAAGAAATGACTAATTTGATTCCTGGTAGGGCACACACCCAGGTTGCTGGCTCGATCCCCAGTAGGGGACGTGCAGGAGGCAACTGATTGATGTTTCTCTCTTTCTAAAGCATCAATAAAAACATTAAAGAAACAGATGGGCAGGTGAGGGTTTCAGGTAGGGAGCACTGTGGACATTTGCCCTTCACCTTATTTAATGTGAGTGAGGACAGGTGGCTGCCCCACTCTGCAGGGGCCCAGCACTGCCATGCCCAGCACCCGAGCATTTCCCTTCTCCCTTCACCTTTAACCCTAAAGCCAGACACAGCCTGTTGATGTGACTTATTCCCAGCAAGGGGGAAACCAAGGTTCTGAACCAGGGGGCCCATCAGAATCACACATCATCCCTTGGATGCCTGCCCAGGTCCACCGAGGATCTCGTGTTGGGCCAGATGTCTGTGTTGTCGGGCAGAGCTCCCCAGGGACCAGGCCCTCCCTGGTCTAGAACGTGGTTCCCTGGTTTCTCTCAACTCTGGCATGGCTTTGCTCTCCACCTGCCCCTCTCACTAACCCCTCTCACTCTCTGCCCCCTGCCCAGCAGGAACACAAAGCCAGGTCGGGGCTGTCTGAGGCTCGGAATGGGGTGGCTCTTCCAGATGCCCTCTCCCTTCCTGTCAAATGGGCATTTGGTGTTCAAGGCTGTGCTGCACTGATGGCAAGGGATCCCTGGGCAGGCGTCTGGTGCTGCTCTAGAGCTCCTGGCGCCCTCTGCGGAGGGAGGACTTAAACCCCTGGAAGGTGGAGACCACAGGAGATGGTCAGAAAGCAGGTGCTGGGAAGTAGACCATCTCGGGCATAAGCCCGGGCAGTGGGCAGGGAGCCTAGCCAACCCCTCCCTCACCCGCTCTTGTCCCCTCAGAACTCGGACAGCATCCCGCCGGGCTATGAGCCCATCTCTCTGCTTGAGGCGCTCAACGGCCTCCGGGCCATCTCCCCGGCCCTCCCCTCGGCTCCCCTGTACGAAGAGATCACCTACTCGGGCGTCTCGGATGGTCTGTCCCAGGCCAGCTGCCCACTTGCTGGGCTTGATCGCATCATGGAAAGCAGCCACCAGAAGGGCAAGTCTCGGAGCAAATCCCCCGACAGGTGAGGCCAGGGCCGAGGCCGGGATTCCCTCTGGGAAGGGTGTCTGGGAACCCACCCGCCTGCTTGTGGGCCAGGGCCCAGGAGGCGTATGCTAGTAGAAAAGAAGTGCAAAGCAAGGTGATTTGTAGTTTTAAATAATTTTATAACGTGTTTTGTTTGGTGATCACCAGAAAGACTAACAAGACCAGTAGTGGGCTAGGCTCCCGGGTAAGGTTGATCTCAGCAAAGGCAGCAGGAGTGAAATGCATCAGTGGAGGCCAGAGGCGCCGGTGTCCTCCCTGTCCCAGGCCAACCGCAGGGGCGTGAGCGCTGTTGCACCAGGAGAGCTGTTTGAGTTTCAGGGTCCTGGGACTTTCTGGGGGTTGGTCACATGGGCACATCCTGCTGTGCGACTGGTGAACCAGGATTGTCATCCCAGGGCCCATCATGGCTCCTTGGACACTTGCTAGGCCCTGCAGCCGGCCTTGATTCGGAGTCTTTCCTCACACACATGCTGGCTTTTTACTGGGGAAGTATAAGGAAGGCACAGGTTCCATAAAACCAACTGTGGCCCCATGACTAATACACATGGCAGGCTCACTCCAAAGATGCAGAATCCTGGGAATCTCCTGCTGCCTCCCTTGCCCAGCCCTCCAGCCCAGAAGTACACCATCGCGGTTGTCCTCTCCTTCTGGAAATAAAAAGCTGTGTTTAGGTCCTAGCCAGATTGGCTCAGTAGATAGAGTGTCAGCCTGCAGACTGAAGGGTCCGGGTTCGATTCCGATCAAGGGCACATGCCCGGGTTGCAAGCTCAATCCCCAGTGGGGAGCATGCAGGAGGCAGCCAATCAATGATTCTCTCTCATCATTGATGTTTCTGTCTATCTCCCTCTCCCTTCCTCTCTGAAGTCAATAAAAATATATTAAAAAATAAAATAAAAATAAAAAGCCGTGTTTAGGCCTCTGCAAGTGCCCAGGTGGACAGCCTCCATGCTGCTAGCTAGCACCCTGCTGGCATTCTGCTGATGCCCACAACTCCCCGGGCGCATCTGCCCGCAGCTCCAGGCAACATATGCAGGCTCACCCTCAGGTGGAGCTGGCGTTGGTAAGGTCACTTTTCTACCCACTTGTCTTCTACCCTCCTCTCTGCCCAGCACCCTGCGGTCCCCATCGTCCCCCATCCACGAAGAGGACGAGGAGAAGCTCTCCCAGGACTCGGACGCCCCTCCCCTGCCGAGTGGGGCTGGGCTGGTGCTGAGCAGCTCCCCAGAGGTGAGTTCCCGTCCTGGCCGCCCCTCGGTCCTGCCCACCTGAGATCTGAGTCCCCACTGCTTGCTGTTTGCCTCTGAGACCTGTTTCATGGTGTGCCCGGGCCTGCCCTGCCCTGCCCTCACTCAGTGGAGGTTGGCACCAGTCCTGGGTCAGCACCATAGCTCCAGGCTCATTTTCCCTTGTTTCCTAGAGTTTCCTCACGGAGGAGGTTGACGAGAGGTCATCGCTAAAGCAAGGTGAGCCCTCTTTTCTGAAGGGCAGGGTTCCAGTGCTGCCTGTCGGGAGGGCAGAGGTTTCCAGCTCAGATCCCCTAGGGTTTCTCCTGGGAACCACTGCACAGTGTCTCAGGACAGCCCGCAGCCGCTCCTGGTTTTCCCTCCCGCCATCAGCATCGGGTAGTGTGGCCATTTTCTATCCCACCTGGATCGTTCTGCACGTGGTCAGCTCTCCCGGCCTGGCCTTGAGCTGTTCCCATCCCTTGGTAGTCCTGCAGCACCTGGACAGATCCAGGGCCTTTGTGTGGGCAGAGGGCTCAGCTAGGTCCAGGTCTCCCGTGTGGGAGTGGGGGGCTGGCTCCTCTCTTGATGGAAGTTTTAGTACGTAGCAACCTACAGGGTCAGGACCCAGCCGCCCAGCACATGTGCTGGTTCTGAGTCAGGGGATGACCTTGCCTGACCTCACAGTGGTTGTGGGACATAATGAGGTGCTTCCCTCTGCTGGCTGGGGAGACGCCATCTCTCTGCTGTCTTGGTCATTTCTCCCCAGTGTGGGCAGGTGAGGAAACAGGCTCAGGGCTGGTTTTGGAGGAGGCCAAGGCCACTTAATTTAGAGGTAATAGAGCCAGGAGTGGCCCTTGCTGGCTGCCCCCCAAGCCTGCAATCTGGTAAAAGACCCCAAAATAACCCACAGACGCTCCATTGCTGTAACCCCTTCTTGCCGGGGGTCCCCTGGCCAGCATTGCACTGTGGGGGCCCACATCCCTTCCAGAAGCAGCCCCCCACCCCGCGGGTGGTGCCCAGGTTTAGGGGTGTCTGTTCCTGGAAGCACTGTGCCATCCCTGCCTGCCTGGCCTGGTGCAGGGCAAGCCCTTCTGCCTCTCAGGCCTTGGCTCCCCACCTCCCTCAGGGTTGGCTTTTCCTGCTGGTGCCAAGCATGTGCTGGGACTGGGCAGCCTCTGCTGTGCCCTGTCACAGGGGCCAGACCCCTTTCTGTAGGAGAGAGAACCGTGCAGGCCTGAGGCTGAGAGCTGATGTGTGAGAGGAGCAGCCACACTGGAGGCCCCCATCGGCGTGTCCACGCAGGACCTGCTGCAGTGTGTGTGGACCAGGGGCTGTCAGCCTGCTCACCCAGGAAGATCAACAGAGAGTTATATCTGTTACCATTTTATCTTGTTTTTTAAACTTGGGCATTTTTTTTTTTATTGATAAAAATAAAACAGAAGCCCCATACTGGGGGTGTGAGAGAAGAAAAGAGAGGGAGAATAGGGTCCAGGGAGAGCAGAGGGGGAGTCAGGAGACCAAGGGCCCCAGCAGCTGCAGTGCCCTCGGGAATGAAAGGCGGGCTCCTGAGGATCTCAGCCAGAGGAGTGGCCCAGCCCACCCCTGCTAGTGGGTCCCTGACCTGCTCTCTCCTCTGCAGGGAGCCGTGTACCTTCCATTGAGAACGTCCTCCAGGATGGCAGCCCTGAGCCCTGTGGCTGCTGCCAGCCTGGCCCACCTACCGACATCTACCTTCCAGGTAATAGCACTCAGTCTTTGGGCTCGGGACCTGCCCAGCCTGGGATGGTGCTGTGACCATCCTCATGAAGTTGGGGGCCTACTGGTGCTCTGACTACTCAGGGAGGAGCTGACCGGTGGGGAGCCTGCCCCCCTCTCTCTGGCTCTGAGTTCATGCTCCTTCCATCAGTCCCCATAGCACAGCCAGGCTCAGTTTCCATAGTCGCCCCTCCTGCAGCCCCTGACTCTTTGGGGCAGAGCCTGTGCCAAGGCCTCTTTGCAGCCCAGAGCCAGCTCAGCTTCAGGAAGGCAGGAAAGGCTGTGTTTAAGGACACAGTCCTTTTCCCCGTCCATCTGCATTGCCATATCTTCCTGCACCCATGGCTCTGGCATGCTTGGACCTCTACCCCAGGGAGCTATGAACAAAGCCACCTGCCTGCCTTAGGCCTGACACCAGCTTTCCTCCACCTGCTGGAGGTCCCTGGTGAAGCAGGGTATCCCACGCCAGGGTGCAGCAGGTCCGGCTGGTGTGTTGGGTGCCAGCAAGGCTCGAGGCAGCTGGGAACAGTCCTGCTTCTCTTCTCTTTTCTGAGGCCTCTGCCCAGGGCCCTTTGGCCTCAGCTGCTCTGCTCTCTGCTCCTCTGGGCCAGAATCCTCGGCTTCAAATCCTGGGCTCCACAGATGGGCGATAGGAGTGGGGGGGCTCTCAGATGCTCATGTTGGCACCTGCTAGGATACCATCTGAGGCTCTGGAATCAAAATAAATAGTTACATTGCCCCTAGAGAGCCTGGCTCCTGCCACATGGCCGGGGAGCCCTTGGGGGCTCTCCTGCCTGTCCCTGGAGCCATCGTTGCCTGGTCCCTGGGGAGCTGGCTTGAGCATTGGGGGCTGTGACATGCTTTGGTTTGGAAGGGCCTCTTGCCCTCATCTGGCTTCTGGATGAGCAGCGAGTGGCTTTGCAGACAGAGGGTCACCAGGTGTGTGAGGAAGCAGGACAGCTGTTGGTTCAGTGGCACATATGGGCCTGCCCATAGGGACACCCATGGGTAAAAGCATACCTTAGAGTAACACAGAATTCCAGTAAGTTCTTTGAGAGGACTTCAAGTATTTCATTGTGATTCAAATTGGGGGGAGGTGGCCAGGAGAGGGACTGGGCTTTCTGGAGCCACAAGCCTCCACTCTGGCCTCCTTGGGCCCAAAGTCCTTGACCTGAGCTGCGGTGTGGGGTGGACAGGAGGCTCAGAATCCACAGGCCCCCTCTGATGCTCAGTGAAAGGTCTTCTGTGGTGGCCGGAGCCATAGGGGCTTAGGACATGTCTGAGTGTGAGGCCTGATCCCTAAGGCAGATGCCCACACAGCCTCTGCAGCGCCACCCCTCACCCTTCGCTCCTCGAGTGGCCCAGAGTGCTCAGGGGTCTGCAGGGTTGGGACAGGCCGTAGCTGCTGGGCTCGGCCTACAGGTGAGACCAGGACTTCTGGCTCTTGAGCCCCTGAGCCTCTAGCTCAGGGGTCCTCAAACTTTTTAAACAGGGGGCCATTTCACTGTCCCTCAGACCATTGGAGGGCCGGACTATAGTTTAAAAAAACTATGAACAAATTCCTATGCACACTGCACATATCTTATTTTGAAGTAACAAAACAAAACGGGAACAAATACAATATTTGAGGACCCCTGCTCTAGCTGACATGTGGGGCGGGAAGCAGTTGGTTATGGAAGTGGTGGAGGAGAGGCCAGAGTCTGCATTCAGGGCCTGACTGGACAGTGAGGTGGGCAGTGTCCGGCTCCTGAGCCCGGCTCCACCCTGGCTCTGCGCCTGTCCAGTCTGCAGGGCAGGGTGGGATCTCAGCACCTCTCAGAGCTCAGACAGGAAGCGGGTGCTGTTAGCAACCTGCACCTGCTCTCCACAGGCACCACTGATTGCAGCTGGGGGTGGGCAGGGGTCCTCACAGGGGCGCACAGCTGTGTGAGCACGTGTCCATGCCTTCTAGTCACATGCTGGGCCCGCTATTCTGCTACTGGCTTGTTTCAGTTAGGGGAGATCCTGAGCATCTTTCACATGTATGTTTAAGGATGTGAACACGTACACTGGGGTGTCTTCATTCTTTATAACAACTGCACAGCCACCCGGAGGGATGAAGCATTATTTAGTGACTCTTAGTGTTCCCTGTTGATGGGGAAAATGACATTGGGGGAATCTATAAATGGAAAACCTAGATGCTTGTGTCCCCACAGCCCTTCCTGGGCTCCACCTTCCAGCGGGGTTCAGCACTGCCCGGCCCCCCAATCCTTCCACAGGCTGAGTTTCTCTGCGTAAGAATTGGCCCAGCACTCCCCAGGAAATACATTTTCAGCCGATGCCCGTCTTTTGTTCCAGCACATCGGTTGGTGTGGGTTTTCATTTCCAGTCCCCACCCTCTCAGGGCCACTGTCCTAAGGTCAGTGCATCTGCTGTGGGGTGTGCTGTCTGAGCCTTTGCTAACCAGCTTCTGTCTCTCTCTGCACAGCCCAGGCACCCGACTCCTGTTCTGTTGGCATCGAGGAGTAAGCTGGTACGTGACCGCCGCCATGCTCGTGGTGGGTGGCTCCGAGGGGCATCCTTGGTAGGGGTTAGCGAGGAAATCCCCCAGCTGCCTCTCCCTCTCCTGCTCCCTCCAGGGGGTTCCTCCCCATTTCCCAGCCTCCTCCACATCCTGTCTTCCCTTGGGTCCTGGATTCTAAATCCAGAGCTCTCCCAGCGCTGCTGCCCCTTTGCCCCAAAGAGGTAGTCCTGGGGGGTGTGATGCTGGCTTTGGGGCCAGAAATTCTCCCATCGGGACCAGGCTGCCTAGTCAGGCTGTTCCAGCCTTTAGGGCCCCAGGAATGGGGACCCAACCCTAGCTGAGACCCCCATCATTGCTGCTACTAAACTGTCCCCCTCCCCACCTCTGGAACCTTTCAGAACACCACCAGCATACTCATATCAGTCTATTAGCAAGTCATATGAGGTTGACTCCCCGCATGATAGGGAGGTGCCTCCTACCTGGGTGACCCAGACAGACATTTTACAGAAGGCAGTTCCAAGAGCACCACCGAGACATAGGCCATATGTGTTGGGCCCCCTTCCCCTCCTTCATGTGACATTAGTGGCTCTGGGAAGTCTGATGATACAGAGCCTGGTGCCTTCGGTGGCCCTGGGTTTCTCAGATGAGTGTGGTGTGGAACGTTCTAGCAGGACTCTTGGCAGCAGAGTCCAGCAGCCCCAGCTGGAGACACCAGGTCAGGTTGGTGTCTGGCCTTCCTCCTGGTCAGCTGTTCTGAGCCCCAACTGTGGTGTCTGTCCACTTGTTTTAACGACTGCTCTTACATTCCCACAAAAACCTCTTGTCCTCCTCACACATTTCTTCTGACAAATCTTACCCTCTGTCGGGCACTTTTATTCTTTAAAAAAAAATGTTTTTATTGATTTGAGAGAAAGGAAAGGAGAGGGGGAGAAAGAGAAACATCGATTGGCTGCCTCACGCTCCATTCTGGGCATCTAGCCTGCAAGCCGGGCATGTGCCCCAACCAGGAATCAAACCAATGACCCTTTGGTGCACGGGATGACGCTCAACCAACTAAGCCACAGCAGCCAGGGCAGGGTCCCGCACTTTTATAAAGCTGGTCCCAGATCCACTCTGGAAGATGTTCAGTGTTGCAATTTAGGTAAAACCTCCAGAAGTAGGAAACAGGTCAGCGCTACAGAGAAATATACTTCGCTTGGCAGAGCTGACTTGCACACAGCCACAGCGCCTACGAAAATAGTCCCCTTACCCGAGGGTCTGTGTCGCAGACGACTGGTGGCAGACGCACTGCTTGGTTTGCTACGTGAAGACGCCAGTGGAGCCCACCTTCAAGTGGGTGGGTGGGTGACCATGCTTTCTGCAGCTCTGAAAAGTGTGCTGGTCCCTCTGCTGCTGCAACCCCCAGTCAGGGATCCTCACACCAGCACCCAGGCAAAGGGGACACCCTGTCCGGGGACAGAGCACTTCACGGCATTGGGGAGGCAACTGTGGTAACAATAGGCCTCTGAGGAGGGCAGGCTAGGCTCCTGGGTCTGCTCTGAGCACTGGCTGTACGTCCACTCACTTTTGCCTGGGGCCGACCAGTCCCAGCCTAAGTTAGTCAGGAAGCTCTGCGGACTGGCTGGTCAGTTTCCAGGAGCACAGACCTTGCAAGGGCAGGAGGCCTGGGGGTCAGCAGCCCAAGGTGCCCTGTTCTGTTCCAGGGCTACAGCTGCTGCTGGCACCACAGACGTGCATGCGCAGAGATGGGTGCTGGCTGGCCCTGCCCTCCAGGTTTTAAAGTTGGTAGGAACCTGGTGCCTGCAGGGGTGAAGGGAGCAAGTGAGGCGGGAAGGCTCGTCCAAGCCTGACCCTCCTCCCTCTGCTCCCACCTGCAGGAAGGTCCATCTCCATGAAGACGCCGGAGCCTCCTCGCCACTGGCCCCACCTAGCCTCTGTTTGGTGGCCCCAGTCCTGACGTGGAGGCCACTGCCTGACTCAACTCTGAGAGCCTGGCCAGGCTGGCAGCATGGAGCCCTCAGCTCCCCAGACTTTGCCAAGGGGCTGTCTGGACTCCATTGAGACCCCTGGCCTCTCCCTATCTGCACACCCTTCATAGCCACAGCTCCAAGGGGCCCTGCGACCCTTGATTGAAGAGCACAGTGGACTGTCCCCCTGACAAACCTTTTTTCCTGCGGTCTCTGTATTTGTAAATGGTACACAATGAAGGACAGCCCCTTTCTGTCTCGGGCACTGAGCTCTGAGTTCCCCCAAATCTCTTGTTGACTGAATGGCTGGAGCTGGAGGCTGGCCACCCACATGTCCCAGATTGGCTTTATCCAGCCCCCCAGCCAGTGGGAGGCTGACACCCTGAGAACTCAGCAAATCGGCAGGAGAGAATTTATCGGTGGGTGAAGTACTGTCTTCCCAGGGGGTAGTACTGGGGGGGCTTGTTGTTGGGGAAGGGAAGGAAGGGGGATCCGAGTCACGGTCAATGAAGGAAACGATGCCTGTGCCCTTCCCCCGAGTTCATGGCCTGGCTGGCACTGCTGCTTTGTGTCCTCTGTTGCTTCCCCTTCCGCGCAGGCCCTACGTGCAGGGCTGTGTAGCTCGCAGCCCTTCCCTGCGGCCCTGCGCAGCCTGCGTTTCTGCACTCGAGGCCCAGGTCTGGTTTTGGGCCCGACTCTTCCCTGGGGCAGAGGTGCAGTGCACAGCCTATTGGCAGCAGTTGGGCTAGTGCCGTGGTCGGCAAACTGCGGCTCACGACCCACATGCGGCTCTTTGGCCCCTTGAGTGTGGCTCTTCCTAAGCCTTAGGAGTACCCTAATTAAGTTAATAACAATGTACCTACCTATATAGTTTAAGTTTAAAAAATTTGGCTCTCAAAAGAAATTTCAATCGTACTGTTGATATTTGGCTCTGTTGACTAATGAGTTTGCCGACCACTGGTCCAGTGGCCCCTCTCCAGGCCCTGCACCTTCTCAGAGGTGGCTTTGCACACGTCCTCAGACCCCCTCCAGGTGGAGGGGCCTCCGCTCAGCTTGTCCGCCCGCTCAGGGAGGGATCTGAGCAACTTTTCTGCTCCCTCTGTGTCATTTAAATGTCACTCGGTGTTTCTCTTTGATTTGTTCTGTCTGGGGCTCCTGTGGTGGGACCTGCCTCCTGGTGAAGGGTCCCATTTGAAGTGGCCTCTCATTTTCTTAAGATAAACCACCTGGGCAATAGAAAAGCAGAGGAGGCACAGGCTGCCCAAGCAGGGACCTTGGCCTGGTGGGTGGGTGGGTCTGTGCAGCTCCCCAAGGGGCCAACACTTTTGGGGCTTGGGTTAGGGGGTGCAGAGGAGCTCGCTTTCTGAGGATGATGGTTCTGGGAGCATCCACACAGCTGGGGGCTTTGTCCAGTAGGGTCCTTGTTCTCTCTCCAATGGGCTGTGAGCAGAGCGCTGCCTTATGCACAGCTCTCGGCCACACTCAGGCCACCTTCCTCAGCCGCTTGGCTCCCTGTCTCTCCCCCCCCCCCCAACTCCCGCCCACTGGTGTGCTCATAGGTGCACATGTGCACACATACAGGCTGTCTCTCTCCTCGCCCTCATCACCCACCAACACCCTGGCCTCTTGCCGTTGGCATTGGTGCCAGTACTCCAAATGACAGGATGCAGTACCCTGTCTTGGACTTAAACATGCTATCATTTGATGTATTCTGATTGGCTAGTTTTTGTTCCTTTTTACTGTATATTTATAGTAATAAAATCATCCAGCAATATCCTGTTCATTCCTTTTTCCATGCGTAGCACTGCAGGACCTCACCTGTTTCTTAGTCAGAGGCCGGACTGCTGAGTGGCGAGTGGTGGTCTGACCCCTTACAGCAGTGCGAGCACCAGCTTGTGACTGCAGTCTGTTTCATGTGTAAGACATCAGTGAGGTCCGACTCCAGGAGGGAGTGAGGGTTACTGTTGTGGCCACTGTGCTGATTCTTGGATCGGACCGAATGGTTCCAGGGGATTCGGCTCAGTCTTCTGAGCAGGTAGAGAAGGAGCCAGGGCCTCCAGGTTTGTGAGAGGCTGCTGTGGTCCCCAGCACCATGTTCTGTGTCGCTGATTCATCCCATAGATGTTTCCTGACCACCTACTGTGTGCCAGCAGAAGGCAAGATGGACAAGGTCCAGGCCCCTGGGAGCTTGTCAGTGAGACTCTACACAAATAAATCTACATCTTCCTCAATTTGGTTACCATTAGGAAGAGTCAGCAGGTGCCAAGATGGGGTCACATGGGGGACTTAATTTAACCCATAGTCTGGCAGAGCAACCCAGGCAGCTGGCACAGAAAGTGCAAAGGCCCAGAGATAGGAGTGAGCCCAGGATGTCCACCCAGTGGAAAGAAGCACACGTGGCCGAAGAGTCGGAACTGGGATTTGGTTGCAGATACCGCAAGACTTTGTAGGGGCAATCAGGGGTTTATTCTAAGAACAGAGGTTTTTAAGCAAGAGAGTGACTCACTCCTGATGTCATGTGGAGAATGGATTAGAGGGGCAGGTTTGGCTGCCATGATGCTGGAGCCCAGCTGGGAGCCCTCTGCTTGGCTTGAGTTTCCCTGCCCAGTGAATGGTTTCCCAGTAGGGAAAAGATGGTGCCCCAGAATGCCAGGCAGCACTGTTTGCACCCCCACCCCCAGCTTTGCAAACACAACTCCAAGTTACCTCCACAGGCCTCTGTGTGTGTGTGTGTGTGTGTGTGTGTGTGTCCTATATAATAAAAGGCTAATATGCAAATCGACCTAACAGCAGAATGACCAGTCGCTATGATGTGCACTGACCACCAGGGGGCAGACGCTCAATGCAGGAGCTGCCCCTGGTGGTCAGTGCACTCCCACAGGGGGAGTGCCACTCAGCCAGAAGCCGGGCTCACGGCTGGCGAGCGCAGTGGCTGTGGCAGGAGCCTCTCTCACCTCCATGGCAGTCGAACATCCCCCGAGGGCTCCCAGACTGTGAGAGGGCGCAGGCTGGGCTGAGGGGGAACCCTTCCCCCAAATTTCCCACGTGCCCCAGGAGGCGCTGGGGGAAGGCCTCGCCACGGGCGACGTGGTCTCGGAAGACCCCGCTGCCCTCCTCACTGCCCCAACCCCGCAGGCTCCGCACGCAGCAGGCGGAGGTGGAGCTCGGCTCGCGCGTTGCCTGCCGGGCGTTGTGGTGCCCGGAGCTGGGCCGGCATCCGGTTTCGGAGGCTATTGGGTGCGGCCGTGGTGCGCGCCGTCCCTCCCTTTGCACACGCCCCTGCGCCTCTCAACGACGCGTCGCGGTGGGCTCTGTCCCGATGCGCGTCAGCGATTGGTGGAGGGAGCGCGGCTGCCCGCGGATTGGCCAGTGCGGCGGGGGCGGGCCAGCGCACGCACTTAAGGGGAGGTGCCGCGGCGCGGGGGGTAGTAACAAGATGTCGGCTGCGGTGCCAGAGCTGAAGCAGATCAGCCGGGTGGAGGCGATGCGCTTGGGGCCGGGCTGGAGCCACTCGTGCCACGCCATGCTGTACGCCGCCAACCCCGGGCAGCTTTTCGGCCGCATCCCCATGCGCTTCTCGGTGCTGGTGAGGACGCGGGCGGGCGGACGTGGGCGGGACGTCGCTCGGACCCGCGCCCGTGACCCGGCGCTCCCTTGTAGATGCAGATGCGCTTCGACGGGCTGCTGGGCTTCCCCGGGGGGCTAGGTGGAAAATGATTTCAGTTATAATATCCGGACTAACCAGTCTGCTGCCCTGATCCAAGACTGCTTTGTTGTCGCTAAGGAAAAGTCATTAAAGAGGTTATATCTGAAGAGCCGAGAGGGAAATTAGGAACTAGATATTTCTAACGGAGATAAATCATAATAGAATTAAGATTGTCTAGCGTGTCTCACTCTCTCGAATACCGGGCCTATGGAT